TTGGAATACATGTGTTCACTGATGCTTCAAGTTTAGCATATTCAGCAGCAGTGTATCTAGTGAGTCAGGAATGCATGGAACAAATCATCGCTTATTTTCTCCAAGTCCCGCATTGCTCCTATCAAAGGAATGACAATACCACGTCTAGAACTGATGGCCATACTCATCGGAACACGAGCAGCACAATTCGTCATGACACAACTGGACCTCACCAATACAAAGGTAATTTTGTGGTCAGACTCTAAATGTGCATTACATTGGATAAAAAAATCATTCTAACCTATTACCAAGATTTGTTCAAAATTGGGTCGAGGAAATACGTAGAACGAAATTTACCTTCCGTTATATTCCGTCAGAAGAGAACCCCGTAGATGTGGCAACAAGAGGTCTTAACCCGAAACAACTCAAAGGTTTCATGCCATGGTCCGTTATGGCTAGAACAGGGGGAAATTAACTGGCCATGATGGGAACACGATTTTGATAATAACAACGAACCAAAAGAAATCACCATAGCAAAGGTCTCGCGAATGAGCAAGGATCATAATCTTCAATTTATCGACGTTTTAGCAAATGGCTAAGACTGTTACGAACAACTGCGTGGATCCTTAAGTTTATTCGATTAACAACTAAAAGCGGATTATCATGGCTACAGTCTGTTTCAACTGAAAACATCGACCTACAGATGAGGATTACAAATTGTCGGAATGATTGTTAATTAGACAAGCGCAGTCTGAAGGAGTCAATGACGATGAAATAAACAAGTGGAATTTATTCTACACAGAAGATGATAAGCTATGGAGATCTACTAGTCGACTGGAGAACTCGGAGCTGCCTGAAACTAGCAAATATCCTATGTATCTCCCTCGACACAATCCGATACGGAACTCATTATATTACAACAACATGAAAATCTATGCATGCAGGTATCACTCACACACTTTCAGAATTGAGGAGTAGGTACTGGATTCCCAAAGGCAGAACTGAAGTTAAACGAATGATAAACAAATGTCGAATCTGTAAACGTTGGAACTCCAGATCCTTCAAATCACCACCGATGGTAAGTCTTCCGGAAACGCATGTCAACCGATCTAGAGCCTTTGCACATGTCGGTGTGGATTATTTTGGCCCTCTTTCATTCAAAGGTAATAGTGTGCCAACAAAAAGGTGGGTAATATTATTTACATGCTTTACGACAAGGGCCATGCATCTCGAATTGGCAGAAGATCAGTCCGCATAAACTTTTTGCATGCTATTCGGAGATTCATTGCAAGATGAGGGTATCCCGAACTGATTCTAAGCGACAATGGCACTCAATTCCAGGCGTTAAGAACAATTACGACACAAGTCACTGTTTTCAACTTTTTAGCAAAAGATGGAATGAAATGGAAAAATATTGTATCAAAGGCTCCTTGGCAAGGAGGAATTTATGAGAGACTAATTGGGTTAACGAAAAATCCATTAAAAAGAGCCATTGGCAGAAAATACCTAGCGGAAAGGGAATTGGTGACGCTAATTGCGGAAGTTGAGGGCATATTTAATGCCCGACCACTAACTTATGTTAACTTTGACGACTGCGTTATTATACGTCCCACTGATTTTATTTTGCCTAACACTTCGCTCCATCTACCCATGATTAAGGATGATGATACACAGGAAGAATTTATCCCTCACAGATTAGATACCAAAGAAAGGCTCGTCAAATACTGGGAAAGCACTCTTAAAACTCTCGATATTTTTTGGGAAATCTTTCGAACCGAATATTTAACAAGCCTCAGAGAACACACACAAAGGGAAATTACCTCACCCAAAGGAGCACAAAAAAGAACTCCAAGGAAGGGAGAGATTGCACTCCTAAATGAATCGGGCATTCCAAGGGGAATGTGGAAATTATTAAGAATCAAAGGTGTCAAAATTGATAAGGACGGTCAAGTCATGAATGTTCAAGTAGAAACTCCCACTGGGAAACTCCTCGATCGTCCAATAAATGTACTGTATCCCCTCGAAGTTAACAATGATGAAGATCATCTCGAACTTAATAGCAAGGAAAGCACGAAAGTTCTGGAAATCGAACAGGACACAGGGAAACTCCAGGAACCCATTGCAATGTGAACTAGAAGCAATACAAAACGACAATCTCAATCAAAAGGGGTAAATAAGAGTAACTTAATAGTCCCACTTTCATCAGTATTCATGCTTTACATTCTTATAATACCAGTAGAAGTAAAGAGAGAATGGAAATCGGGAATACCATTTAATATCCCGGAAAAATGGAATTGTGAAGAAATCACGCGGCAGAATTCCACTCTGCTTCAGGTTAGTATTTATGCTCGTAGATCCATCATAGTCCCGGCGATCAAATGTAACAATATTACCCGAACTGCATGCACTAAAGCATTTCTATGGTTCTCGTTATCAGTAACTTCGGACTAACAACCTGACTAATTCGGACTAACAATTTCTGCACCATCATCGGAAACCTGCAGAATTTTATGCAAATCAAAGGCAAATGGCTAGAAGTGATTTAAATCAAGTTTCCCAGAACAAATAGGCAACAGCCAATCAAGTGCACTATTCCTACTGATGGTTGGGAGTTAGATGCCAATCAGCAACAAATTTAATATTAACAGAAGGAAAAATATTTCTTTACGATGGAAATGGATTCGTATTGGATCTTGAAACCGCGGAGAAATGCGCTACACGGGACGGAAAATGCATCACAAACAACAACATCGTTCTCTGGGACGTCCAGCAAATAGCAAAAAAGTGTCTATACCGTAAGGTAGGAACTTTCAGTGCTCAAATCTATGAAAATCATGTGAACATAGACGAACTACAAACGTCATTCATTTTCAGTAAGAAAAACAAAACATTTAGAGGTGAAAATTGCAATTTTACTAACCCCAAACTAATGAATGGTGACGCTGTCATTGATCCTGTAGCGAAGATTGCTAACAATAGGAACAGGAGGAGCACGAATTTGACGCTTGCTTCATCAAAGGGCAAGCAATTAATGATGGAAATACAACGAGGAGACGATAGTGATCCAGAAAATACGAAATTTCAATAATTATTCGATAATTTGCAACAAGAGTTTCAACAGCAATTAAAACTAGTAGAACAGCAAACTTGTGAAAATCGGAACAATCTGTTATTACTAATCGAATGGCTGTCGCTGGATAATCCGCGAGTCTATTGCTACAAAGAAAGGACGGCAAAAGTAGACGGAAAATTATTAATCGCCCCGTGTAAGTCAGATCCATTTCATCCAAAAATTATTGAATTTAAAGGCGGATTAATAAGTATATTTGAAATTGATAGAATTAGTGCAGCACTAGAAATACTAGCACAGAATCAACAAACAGCCAATTCAGTTCCTAAACCACAAGAAACCTTAAGTATTTGGGACGACTCAGTCAACGAGGAGAGGAATTATCAGAACAACTTAAAGGAAAATTCGAAAGAGCGACAGCGTTCGTACAAGTAAAGTTGAGGGAACTTTTTTCGCATTGGAAACTAATTATAATTGGAGTGATCGTTTTGATAACGCTAATAGTGTTTATTATCTTAAAGATTAAATCCTCATTAATTCATTTTATATTTAACCTCATGTTGCAAGACTCTAAACCATCAGGAGGTTGAAACTATTCCCATAGGAGATTTACTAACTTCCCTCCCTAAATTTTTGGAACAAAGAGAACCAACCAAACAAACTCCACTTTATTACAAATCCCACATACTCCCCATATCAACCTTCTCTGGTCGGGACTGTCATGAAAACGAAACCTCAAATAAATTAATTCACATTGTAAATTAATGCTAACGATAACTATGAATCACTTTTAACACACCTACATTCCTTAAAATTATTTCCCACACTTTTTTGTTGTTATCTTTCTAACCAATTTGCATCCTTATGTTTAAACCCTTAATTTCCCATGTTAATCTTTCCGTTAATCTTGTTATAATGCTTGTACCATTTCCGGTGTGTTTTCTCATTCTTCATGTAAAACCACTTCCATTTCTTAACACATATAATCTCGGTCCCAAATCCGGGCGAGGGTGATTCTTCTCTCCTCTTCCAAGGATATCGGCTTCATATCAATCTCTTCTCACGATAAAGGTTAATATCCCTTACTGTTGCAAATTCACAAGACAAATCGACTTCCTAACAAACGCTTTCGCACTAAATTAGCGCTTCATTTGGATAGATTTGATTGGAGTTTAATTACCCAACCTCTGAGGTCGGCAAATAAATTATCTGACAGTCATTACTATTTCACGACAATATGTATAGAATTTAATAGATAAACAGATGAAATTAAGGAGCCTGAAAAAAAAATTAAGAATGGAATGGAATAGGTAAACAAGTGAAATTAAGAAGCCAAGCAAAAAAAAAAAATCTCAAATGGAAAAGAAAGATGGATTGAATCGAAATAGATAACATCTATTACGGATTATTAACTGCTATTTATTGATTGTAATTGAAATTAAGAAACCAAAAACGAGACGAAAGATTATAATATGGACAAATAAAATGCATAGATTAATTGGGCTTTAATAAAAAAGCAAACTTTTTTTTATCAAAATAACAAGCCGAATTCCACATTCGTAATGTTGTAATTGAATGAAGTTGTGATAAAATATTACTAAATTCTTCACTTAAACATCCATTATGAATTGTTAATGTTGTTAATGATTGCTGTAATCTGAAAATTGATTGAAAAATTATTGTAATTAAAAGTTTTTGAATCTTGAAAATATAATCTAAAATTTATATTTAAAAAAAATTTGAAAATGAAATTACTGTTAAATTATTTGGAATTGAAATATGCAAATAAAGAAACTATCGATTATCTTACAAAAATTTTTTGTAATGTTAAGAAAAAAAGGAAACATTTTTAATGACTCATTTATGGATTTTTTTTTTTTTTTGGAAATCTTTGAAAAAGAAAGTGAAGGAATAATTGTTAACCTAGAAAACATAATTTTTAGCGCTCGATTTGCATATTTATCAGAATTAAATTTTAGATTATACGTAGTACCACGTGTATCCGTAAGCTCTATACGATATGTAAATTTGGCACTTTTGCAATGTTGTGCAATATCTCGAGCAAATAGCGTTTGTTCATTATTATCATCATCTAAAAATTATATCAGTATTTTCTAGAAATATTATCACTTATATTATCAGTGGATTTTGATAATTTTTGAAATCTATTCAAATTTCATTTCTTCATCTGTTATTTCTCTTATGCATTAATTAATTAGCTGTTGATAAAAACTTTGCCACATTTCTATTTTTAAACCTATTTCAATCAAAATTTTTCTTACTTCATTTCCATCACAACCTAATTTTTTTAAAATTTCATCCCAATATTATTCTTATTAAAAATTCAAAAGAAAAAATGCAAAATTATAACATTTAACTAATCGTATAATTAACATAACAATTTGAGTTTTATTTCCCTTGACAATGGATTTTAATAAAATCGTTATATTAAAATATCATAGTTTTGATAACTAAAACGTTCCTTATCATATTAAACATTATCTTTATCACTATAATGGCAGTTTTTTTTTCTTGTATCAAAATAAAACATTTCCTTACCATTTAGCTCAACAATTCGGATATCTAATGCCAAAATATCCAACCATTTACCATAAATTGTATAAAAATACTTGCAGCATTGTTGTAGCTTCAATCGTTCTAACGGTGAAAAATATTCAGAAAGCCTTTGCAATGCCAATTCCGGAGGATAATTACCATTCATTAAGGAATTATTCTTTTTAGCAACATTTATAACTGATAAAAATACTGTGCAGCTAATCAGCTAATCTGTAATACGTAAAATATTATCAAATGAAAATTTTAATTTTAATAAAATTTTTTGTAAAAAAAAGCCATTTAAATAATTATGACAACATTAGATAATTACATAATTATCGTATTATCAATGAAAATTTTATTTAACTATCAATAACGATAATATATAATGATAGTCGCAATGATTCGCATCACCTTATTTAAAATATACATATATCATGCATATATCTACTTGTATAAAATATGTCATAAAAATTGAAATTAAAATCATTTTAAAATTTAGCATAATCTTATAAAAAATTTTTAAATTTGAAACGAAATAAGTGGGTTAATTTAAACCTAAAACAATTATGGGATAATTACGAACAAATTTTAAGTTTGTCAAGATAATTATGGATCAAAATGGTTTATTCCTACATTTAAAAAAAAAAAAGAAAAAAGGAAATGTAAATGGCAAAAAGAAAAGAAAATAATTGTTAGAATATTTGATAGATTACCAATGGGAAAACATTAATTGATAATTATAGAAGAGGAATGTCTTCACAGAGATTTTTGTCAAAATTCCCTCACGAATTTATCAATATGTGATTTTACTTATCTGTATAATAAATACGGTAAATATTATTGTAGCTTATCCATATGATAGATATGGTAAATATTATTGTAGCTTATACATATGATAAATACGGTAAATATCATTGTAGCTTATACATATGATAAATACGGTAAATATTATTGTAGCTTATCCGTATGATAAATATCATTGTAGCTGATCGTTCTTTCTGACACAGCTTTGTTGTAAATTCGAATTATTTATAGCCAATTATATTACTAAAAATAAAAAATTCCAAATATAAATTAAATATTTGTGAAATTTTGATGCCAATAATCGAAATAATTGCATAAATATCGATTGCTACAATTACAGATTTAAAAAATTTTTTCCGAAAAAAACTTACAAAAAAAAGTGAAATTTCCACAGATGAAATTTAAAAATTTCAAATTCAAAAAGAAAATTTTTTAAAAAAAACAAATTTAAAAAAAAATCGATTGAAACGTAAAATTTTACAATTTCCTCCTTTTGCACTTAACAAAGATATTCTTCCTTTGTATGTGTAATTATTTTAAATGATATAAGAAAAAAAACAAAAAAAAAAAAAAGAAAGAAAAAGCCGAAAAATAGTTTACAATTGAATTAAAAACATTTCGAAAAAATTATGATATTATTATTTACAATTTAGTAACAATCAATAAAATATAATTACAAACAAATATTTTCAAATTTTACAAGTTGAAATTTTTTTTCTTTTGTTGTTGTTATGAAAAAAAATTGAAATTATTAAAAATTAATCATAAATTTTGCAAATCTTAATCAAAATTTTTTTTTGTCTTTTTTTTGTAGAATGAAAGAAAATGAACGAGAATTTTTGGAAAGAAAAATGGTAATAATTTTTTGCAAAATTATTAATTGCAGTGTAACTTTTTTAAATGAAAAATGTGAGATTGCAAAATTCGTTCAGTTTTTTTTTCTTTATTGTTGTAAAATTTGCAAAAATAAAAAATTAATCTTTCAGTAATGAATTTCTGCATTGATAATTGATAGCATAGAATAGAATAATGGTAGAAATTATGAAAGATGGATAAAGAAAATTTGCAAAAGAATATAAATTATAAATTTGTAAAAGAATTTATAAAAGAGAGATAAATTATAAAAGATTAATATCGTTATTTCGTCATTAGTTGCAAGGTAGTTGTGAAAAAAGGAAAAAAAGAAAAATTAGTTGTTAATGATGGATAGTTTGATAAATTATATCAAACAGAAATGTTAAATGAAATGATAAGGGTATGGAAGGATAAGAATCAAATGAAAGATGAAAAAATTTAACTGTTTTTTATTTTAAATTTTTAATATTAAAAGATAAATTTATTAATTAATAATGAAAAATGAAGAATTATGTAATGGGATAATTTGAAAAGATGCATATAATCAATGGTGATTACATTTGGTTATATGTGAATTACTGCGTAATTAGTAGTAAAATAATTATGATTACTTAGTAATGAATTGTAAAATGTGGTTACTTAGTAACTAGTGATAAAATTAATGAAAAACTAAATGATTAATTGATCCTGTAGGATGAAATGAATTTTAGAATTTAACTTCTATCTTATATCTCTGTATCTTATAATACCAATTTCAAATTTTATAAAATTGTAAAAAAATAAGTTTAAAAAAAAGGGTAAAATTTTTTTTAAGAAAATTTTGCAATTGTTATTAAGAAAATTTCACAATTACTATTGTTATTGTATTTTCAATGTGCAAAATTTCTTAAACATTTATTTATATATAAATGAAAAAGGTCAAATCAATTGATTCTCATCTTAATGAATTCAATTTTTTGATTAATTTACTTTCCTTAAAAAAAAATACTAACTTTAATATCTTTCAATTTCTACATTTGATTCAATTTGAAATGTCTTTGATAACAATGCATGATGTGATAATGGTTAAATGAGCGTAGGATAAGCCTAGCAGAAGGTTTTAATGAAGTCAAAAAAGAAAAGAAAAATGATATTGCATCCATTTGAAGACTAAAAGTTAATTTCGAAAGATTTAAATGAATGCCATCTTTATGCAAACATCACTTTTTTTTTAGCAAAACTAAATGATATTTTATTAATGAAAAATTGATTGGCGAAAAAAAAAAGCAAAGAAAAGAAAAAGGTTAGATACATCCTTGCCTCTCGTGTCAAAAAATGTTAAAAATAGTAGAACGAAAGGAATGAATGACATAAGTGCAATGAATATGATCCTCCCGTTATCCTTATCATTTCATTTACATTATATCACAATGAAGAGAATGAATGACATAAGTGCAATGAATATGATCCTCCCGTTATCCTTATCATTTCATTTACATTATTTCATCAATGAAAAGAATGAATGATATAAGTGCAATGAATATGATCCTC